GTGCTTTATCCACTGTACCACCTAGCTGCCCCTATTTCTTTCACTATACTATCCTTCCCTCTCATTCCTCTGGTTACTCAAATGCCAGAATGATTTCAAGAAGGCAAGCTAATGATTATAGTGTTATTATTTTTGTTTGTTTAAAACCAGAGAAGGATTCCTGGTAGGCCAGAACTAGATAGGACATTAAAAATCATCTAGTGCAATCCTCTCATTTTACAGGTGAGGAAACTGAGGCCTGGTGTTTATGGGTGAATTCAGTTCTATTTTGTTTTTGGCAAATAACATAACTCAAGAAGTATCATTTGAAAATATACTACAATGAAAGCAATGCAGATTGGCAACTGCTCCTCACCTTATAGTCTTAGGGTTGCCTAGAGCACTGGAAGGTTAAATGACATGCCCATGTTGCAGGTTGTATGCATCAGAGCCTGGCCTTGAATCCAGGCCCTCTCATCTCTGTGGCCAGCTCAATACCCGTTCTGACACCTTATCAATCTGCTTGGCTAAGGGCACTCCCTACACCAATGAAATCACAGGTCTAGCTTTCTCCCCCACTGCCTGCCCCACCCCCTGCAAAAAGCCAATCCAATTGGTTTTTATACTTTTATCCATACCATTCAAAAGGTAGAGGTATTACAAAAACTATGGTGATGCCACTCTGGTCAACCATGTGTCCACTCCATACTTGGCCCCATGCTCCATAGGTTGAGAATTATAGAATATCTATGTATCTATGTATCTCTATCTATCTATCTATCTATCTATCTATCTATCTATCTATCTATCTATCTCTATCTCTATCTATCCATCTATCTACCTATCTATCTATATCTATCCATCTATCTATCTATATCTATCCATCTATCTATCCATCTATCTACCTATCTATCTATATCTATCCATCTATCTATCTATATCTATCCATCTATCTATCTATATCTATCCACCTATCTATCTATATCTATCTATCTTTCTGTCTATCTATCTATCTATCTATATCTGTCTGTCTATCTATCCACCTATCTATCTATATCCATCTATCTATCTATCTATCTATCTATCTATCTATCTATCTATCTATCTATCTATATCTATCCATCTCTCTCTGTATATATGTGTTGTCTCATGAGGTATCTCATTACACACACACACACACACACACACACACACACACACACATATATATTTGTGGAATGAGATACCTCATGAGACAATACATTACCGCTCTGGAGGTCTTCAAGGGAAGACTGGGGGATCCTGGTTGGGGATATTGGCAATCAGGTAGAGTAGTGGATAGAGGGTTTCACATGGAGTCAAGAAGACTCAAGTTTGAATCCTGCCCCACTTATCAGCTGAGTGACATTGGGCAGGTCACTTCTCTAAAATTCAGTTTCTTCTGTAAAATGGGGATAACAATATCACCTATCTTAAAGGATTGTTGTGAGGATCAAATGAGATCATATATGTAAAGTGCTTTGCAAGCCTTAGAGCACCGTGTTTATTGCTATGATGATGATGATGATTATTTAGCATCTCCTTCCCTCACCCTTCTCCATGAAAGACTTGAATTCCTGTTAGGAGGGGAAGCAGGGGGCTGGAGCCAGCTCTGACCCCTACTCTGCTCCCCTCAGAATGAGGGAATACCGAGCCAGAATTGTATTTATCTGTTCCCTTAGATATTATTAGTCTAGGGAATGTAATTTTAAGATTCAAGCTGAACTTCTGATTGCGGTTGTTTAGTGGGGACAGGAGGGCCCCAAAAGCTTTATAGCCAAGACTTGAGACCTTTCCCACCAAATATCAGTTCCACAATAAACACACATAACAAATTGCAGAGAAACCCATTTATCCAAGTAGATAGCAAAATGAAAATCAGAGAAAGTACACATGTGAGAATACATACCAGACAATGCAGATTGAAGGAGCTCTCCCATTGGGAGTGAGGTAACTCAGTTCAACCAAGACAGAGTCCCAAATCTTACCTAAGGGGACATTTCCCAAAGTCTCTACTGTAGCAAGCTGAGAATAAGGACATGATTGAAGCTCTACATGTCAGCTCCTTCCCAGAGTCTTTCTCCCTTTATGCCCCTGAAGAGATATTACCATCTCCACATGTTTTCTCCCTCGATGCTGGAAGCTAAAAGAACCCAAAAAGACTGAAGGGACCTGATCTCTCTTCCTTTTCACTCTCTTCAATTCCACCCTACCTCTCATGTAGGTTGGGGCATTGATTTCCACCATTGAAGACAAAGTCCCATGCCATTGGACTTTGGGATACAGGCTATAATTATAATTATTATTGTAGTGTTGAAGAGGAAATTCTGAGTCACCTACGGGTTGGACTAGAGGGTCTCCAAAGTCCCTTCCAGCTTGAAGATTCTGTGATTTTGAGGATGACCCAAAGAACTAGGGCTGAGGAGACACTTTTTTCTTTGCCTCGGAGAATGCTGCATGCTTTCTTCAGAGCCATTTGTGAGTAAAAACCAAAACGATGAAGAAACTTATGGTGCAAATTATATTGTGAAGTTACAGCTATATCTCTATATGCATTTATGCATAACAGCAGATGCAAATGATTTGGGGATATTTTCTGAACACCTTCCAAGGAATAACAGATGTATATACTCCACAGAATCATGTCATCAACAATCCTCAGGCCCACTGAATCTTCCCATGACCTCCAGCAGCTTAGTCATGTTATGGCAGTGGGCAGGAGGGCGTGGTTGTCAGGAAGAATTAAGAAGTCAAATCAACAGGACTTAGCAACTCTTTGGCTGTGGAGGGTAGTGAGGGAGAGCAAAGAGTCAAGAACAACTCTGATATTTGATCCTGAATGATTGGGAGGATGGATGGTGGCTTCATTAACAGGAATAGAAAAATTAGGATGAGAAAGTCAGGCAGGCTTTGGATGAAGGATAATAATAGTTAGCATTTATATAGCACACATTTCAAACGTTTTCAAAGCCCTTCTTTACATAAATTAACTCATTTGATCCTCATAACTACTCTGGGAGACAGGTGCTATTATTATCCTCATTTTACAGATGAGGAAACAAGACACACAGAGGTTAGGTGACTTGCCTAGAGTCTCAAAGTAAATGTCTGAGTCGGGTCTTCTTTACTCCACGTCCCACACTCCATCCACTGTGCATCTGAGTTCAAACTTGAGTTCAGGTTTAGACAGGTTGAGTTTGAGGTGTTAGTGATACAACTCAGTATATATCAGCAGATAAGGAGAATGAAAGATCAGGAAATTAGCCAGGGCTGGAGACAGAGATTTGAGAGTCCTCTGGGTAGAGATGCTAATTGAGTAGATGAAATTGCCAAGAGAACACATAGTGAAAGAAGAGACTTAACAGCTTTCAATGATATCCACACTTAGGGGGCAAGAGGAAGGACAATAGGACAATGAAAAGAATCAGTTAGAGTGATAAAAGGAGAACCAAGACGGGGCAATGCCATAGAACCAAGAGGAGGAAAAAGAATCCAGGAGGAAGTGGTCAACACTGACAAATACTGCTGCATGATGAAGGACTCAGGCTGAGAAGAAGCCATTGGACTTCCAGCTGGGAGGTCATCCATTGGTGGCCTAAATGACATTACCTCAGTCAAACTGAGACCTAGAGGGCTGCTAGGTGGCACAGTGGATAGTGCACCAGCCCTGAAGTCAGGAGGACCTGAGTTCAAATCTGGCTTCAAACCGAACACTTGTCACTGTGTGACCCTGGGCAAGGTCTAAAATTGTCTAAAAAACAAAACAAAACAAAACAAAAAAACTGAGACCTGGGAAAGACCTTAGCTAAAAAAGGTCAAGGTCTCTCATCCAGGGCCATCTCCAGTAGTACTGACCTATATCTTATCATTGGATCTAGATGTCTCCAGAGGAGAAAGTGAGGCTGGTGACTGTGCACAGCCCTCCCTCACTCAGATCCAATTCACTTGCAAGTAATGGCATCACCTTCCTGATGTCACAGTCCTCTTCGAGAATTAAGGACAAACAACAACAACTGACATTACCAAATCTAATCCCATAGGGTCATAGAATTAGATCATGTAAAAGTCATGCCTCACAGAGGTTAAGTGATTTGCCTAAAGTCACCCAGATAGTAATTACCTGAGCCAGGAATAGGAATGGAGTCTCCTGACTTTCGGGCCAATTTTCCCCTCCCCTCGACCACTCTGCTTCTCATACTACACAGTCCTATTTTTAGCACTTAGGCAATGAAAAGCCTTTTTATGTTATGTATATGTACACATACATTGTAAATTTCCATACACGTGGCTCTTAGTCAATAAATAGTATCTACTATGAAAAAGCTTATAGAAATGTATACACTGTGGGAGTCTCTGGTTTAGTTTTTGCCATTTAAAATATCCATAAAATTGAAAATAAAGTAGCACCAGGAAGAAAAACACAGCAGAAACCACTTGGACGTATCGAGAAGAAAAATTTTCATCTGTCACCTCTGATTTTCTAGCATTTCCCCCCCTCTGTAAATGATCTCCCATCTCCCCAAATGAGACTTTCTCCCTCTCTTTCCTTGGAGAGAAGAAGTTCCTCATTATCAACATTCCCTTGCCTCTCTTTGGGGAAAATATCAATTAGCTGGCATAAGCGAACAGCACACTATTCTCAGCCTCCCCCCCACCCCCACCTCCCTTTGCTGGCCTCTGAGCCTGCCGGACCCCTGGCTCTCTGACATTCTCCTCTCTTTTCTGCAGCACCCTTCCCTCACTCTGCCACCCGTATGTAGTGTAATTACTTCTTAGTTCCTAAATCAGTTCCTGCTCTGGGAAGAAGAAAGCCTTCTCTAATTACAGTCAGTTATGTTCATTTCATCTGAGGTTTCTCATCATCCCTCAAGGAGGTCCTGTTCCTATCCCTTTCTGCCATGTTCCGTGGTTAGCCTTAGCACAGCTAGAGGAAGCCACAAAGGGTATGTGGTGTCCTTTACTCTTGGAGGGTAAATTATTCTGCTTTTTTTTTTCTGAACCAGGCAAGTTTTCTTTTTCCTTGAAATGTCAGACCCTGGGAGCTTGTGCGTCAATTTGCCAGAAGAATTCTCCCTTCTATGGTAAGATGTCTTTCATTTTAACTTGAAATTTTTTCTGGAAATAATGTACTTTATACAATAATGTACTTTGTGATTTAGGCTCAGGTCTGCCAGAATAATTTTATTTGTTTTAATATAAATTTATTTATTTATTTATTTTGAACATATATACCAAGTTTCTAGCTTGGAGAGAGATATCCAAGCTGGAATAGTCTCCCATGCCTTCTGACATGATTCTTAGCCTCAAGATAATTTCAGGTAACATTTATAGGAATCTTGAACAAGGGAAAGATCGTAATATGTTAAAATACAGTTTTGGGTTTACATTCCAAATTAGTCACCATTCAGTTCATGGACCACTTCTCCATAAGAATTCCTTCCTGTGGTCAGTGTCTTAACTTTGAATTTCAAAAAAGAAGACATTGTCCCCAGGTGGGTCAGTACCAATCATTTTGGGTAACTGTGGGCAGGGCAGTCATCTAAACAAGTAGGAAGTTTGATTATCACTCTTACTTCGTTTTAAAGGAAGGCCTTAGTTTTTGTCCCTAAAATTTTTCCAAGAGAAAAATCTGAAAAAGGTTTTAGTCAGTAGTCAGTCAGTCAGTCAATTAGCATTTACTAAGCACCTGCCATGTGCCTTGTTACGTGCTGGGGCAGCTAAGTGGCATAGTAGATAGAATGCTGAGTCTGAAGTCAGGAAGATTCATCTTCCTGAGTTCAAATCCAGCCTCAGACACATGATACTCACTAGCTATGTGACCCTGGGCATGTCACTTAACCCCAGTGCCTCACCAAAAAAAAAGAAAAAAGGAAATGACAAACCACTCCAGTATCTTTGCCAAGAATCCCAAATGAGGTCACGAAGAGTTGGACACAACTGAAATGACTGAACAATAACAAAATGTGCCAGGCACTGCGTTATGTGCTAGAGATTCAAAGAAAGGCAAAACACAGTCCTTTCCCTCAAGGAACTCACAGTCTAGAGGCTGGAGAAATATGACTTATTAATATTACTAGAGAAACTAAAAAAAAATATGCTTCCCCTCAGAGAAAGAGCTTTGGGAGTCCTCTTCATGCAGGAGACAGTTGAACTGCTATAGCAAACTGATTGAAGAGGGAATGAAGTTCTAAGTAGAGAATGCAATAAGAGAGGATGGGAACAAGGGAATGAGATCAAGTTGGGGGTCAGAGAGGATTTTAATCTATGAGAAAGAGGAAGAAAAGGAGGAAGAAGGGAATTCCCTGTGGCCTGTTGCAAGTAGAAAAGGCCAGAGAAAGGGAAGAGGAGAGAGAACTCGTGTCTGAGTGACTCAGTGCAGAGACTTGGGAAATCATTATCTATAAGGGGTCTTGGAGGGGGAAGAAGGCAGATTTTGTGCATCTTGAGCAAGGTTAGAATAAAATGGTCCAGGAAACTTAGAGTAGATGAGGTTAATTTGTAGTTAAGTAAGATAGGAAGTGGGGGATGGGGGAGATTTAAATAGAAGTAGAAATAAATTGCTTCCCATGAGATTTAAATCAGAAGGCTTTCCTGACCCAAACATCTCCTGTAGCTGATCTTGCCCAGTATTCTATTTGAGGCTTCCTTGTATGAAGTTTTAAGCCTTGACACCAGAAAGATGGAAAAGGAAAAATACATCTGTTTCCTTGCTGTAAAAATCCTTTCCTAAAGAATGAAAAGTAGACGCATCTCTGGTTGTTTTAAATTGACTAGTAAATTTCCATGATCTTCTAAATTTTTTGACTGTTCAGACTCCTCTAAACCAAAATTTCATTCTGCACAACCAGAGCCCTAATTTCATATACATCTGTTTCCTTTGGCTATTTAATAAGAGCTTCTCCTACCTTTGAAGAACAAGCTTTTCTCAGAAAGTTACCAGGGCTGAGGGGGAAAAAAAAGCAACTAGAAAGGTGGTCCACGTTTTGAGCCTAGTGGAAAGTTAATCCAGAGAGCCGGAAAGAGGTTTCTTTTCTTTCAAAATAGCATGGATGTGAGTGAATTCCTGCCAGGGATTTCAAAGCTTTGGCAGATCAATGGGTGTGGGGAACAAAGGCTAGAAAAAGGTGATGTTTCTAATGTAAATGGAGGCAGTTCAAAACACTAATTAAAGACTGTTCCCAGTTGGTTTTATCATGTAAAACAGCAACATCATGAAAGATTCTTTTTGTAGTGTTTTTATATGGATTTGAAAGATACAGTAGACAGCTTGCCTGAGTCTTTTTATGGTCATTCCTGAAAGCTAAAACTCCAGTTACTGTGTTTCGTTGGTCCCCTTTTCTTTGTGATGGAGCCTAGAATACAGACTTGTCACCCCCGTAGAACTGCATGTCCTGTTTGCGATTGTCTTAGATCTGTACATATATTCATTCTTAGAGGCTATAGAGCACATTCAACATCACCATGTGACTTCCAAATCCCATCAGCAGACTGGACAACTTTAATTTAGTGGGAAGAGTGCTGGATTTGGCATCAGAAAACTGGTTTCTAGTTCCCTGCTTGGCCGCTTACTAATTGTGCAACTTTGGGTAAGACAGGCTCACAGGGGCATAGATTTAAATCTAGAAGGGCCACTATGGGCCATTCAATCCAACCTCTTTTTTTACCAATAAGGAACTGAGTCTCTTGGGTGAAGTAATTTCTGGGGTTTAAATTCGGGTCCTCTCACTTTAAATCTAATGTGACCTTTGCATTATACTAGGGATGGGGTAGTGGTAAGAGCTGCTGGATTTGGAATATGAAAACTTGGATTTGAATCCTTGTTCTGTTACTTGTGACACAAGACAAGCCTCAGTTTCCTCATCTGTAAAATAAGAGGATTGGACAAGATCAGAGATGTCAAACATATGGCCTATGGGCAGCATGTAGCCCACAACACTCTTGACTGTGCCCAAACCAGATTAATAAGTAATTAGGAAATATTTATTTATTTTCATTTAAAATTTTTTAAAATTAATTTATTTGGAATTATCAACAATCACTTCCATAAGCTTTTGAGTTTTACATTTTTCTCTCCCTCTCTTCCTCCCTCCCCAAGATGGTGCGCAATCTGATATAGGCTATACATATATATTCCAATTAAACATATTTCACATTAGTGATGTTGTAGCTAAGAATTAGAACCAATAGGAGGAACCACCAGAAAGAGGAAACAAAACTCAACAGAAGAGAAAAAAAGTAGCAAATACTATGCTTCAATCCGCATTCAAACTCCATAGTTCTTTCTTCTTTGTGGATAGCATTTTCCATCATGAAGCCTTTGGAGATCCTTGTATTGCTGAAAAGGGTTATGTCTATCAATATTAGTCATCGTGCAACGTGGCTGTTATTGTGTACAATGTTCTCCTGGTTCTGCTCACTTCACTCAGCATCAGACCATACAGGTCTTTCCAGGTTTTTCTGAAGTCAGCCTGTTCATCATTTCTTATAGCACTGTAGTATTCCATTATATTCATATACCACAACTTGTTCAGCCACTCCCCAATTGATGGGCATCCTCTCAATTTCCAATTCTTTGCCGCCACAAAAAGAGCTGCTATAAATATTTTTGTACATGTAGGGCCTTTTCCCATTTGTATGATCTCTCTGGGATATAGCCCTAGAAGTGCTATTGCTGGGTCAAAGGGTATGCACATTTTTATAATCCTTTGGGCATAGTTCCAGAGTGCTCTCCAAATAATTAGGAAATATTTAACAAAATAAATAAAAATACAGTAAAACATAGATAATATTAACACACGGTTTTCTAAGTCAATATGAAGCCCACAGAGATCCTTATGTATTGGCCCCTGTTTCTATTTGAGTTTGACACCATTGGACTAGATGACATCTAAGTAGCCTTTCTACTCTAACATTTTGTGAGAAAGACTGTCTAATAAAAGGTACATTACGTACTCAATAAAAAAAAAAAACCACCACCCAATTGTTGATAGGAGGTGAAGATTATTCCATGATGCATTGATGATAATATGACCTGAGACTCAAGCCCAGGAGTGTGCATAATATTTGGTGGAATGATCTCCACCACTGTCTCCTCATTGGTATGGATGACTTGATAACTCTGGTAATTATTCTCTCCACCAATGAAGGGAGTCTTATGCTAATGCCTAAGCTTGAGCCCTGGGTTACAATAATTCGAGGATGGTAGTCCCTTCTAGGGTATATTTATACTTTCTTTCTGGTCTCAGAAAAAGGACTTAATGTAATTCCATGATTCATTTTACATGTATTTAAAAGTAAATTACCAGTGCTAAAGAAGGGAGTCATCTTTGGGTTAAAAAAAAACACCCTATATTGATGAAAAGTAATAAAATAGTATGTTGTTACCCTCTGTTTTGGGGAGGACTTCCTTCAATTCATTTTTTAAAAATTTTTTAATTTTTAGGCAATTGGGGTTAAGTGACTTGCCCAGGGTCACATAACTAGTAAGTATCAAGTCAATTCAATTTTTAACAAAAAATTTTTAGGACCTGTTAGGAGCAAGGCATAGTTATTTGTGTTTCTATTTCTCTCCTCCACCCTGCCCTTTAGATTTTAACTGAAATTAATTTATCTACTAAAAAAAAAGCATTAAAATGGTAAATACACACACACACACACACACATATTCTGTGTGTGTCATGAATGTCCCTAATAAGTACATATCAAAATAGTACAATTATGTTTGGACAATATAAAAAAAGCCAGAAAGTTAGGAAGGAAACAAAAATTGAGACATTTGTTTTATGAAGCACAAGATTACTCAGGGGATTAGAGAATTTCTATTCCTGGCAAGAGTAATCTATCATAGAAAGATGATTTTAGTCAATCACAATAACTGATATGTTCGTATAGCTATTTAAAGTTTGTAAGGTGTTTTGCTTGTGCTGTCTTCCATGATCCTTAGAATGGCCCTGTTAAGTAAGTACTCCACTTTAGATTTCCATCTTACAGAATAGGAAACTGAACTTCAGAGAGGCTAAGTGACTTGCCCTTGTTAAGCAGATAGCTAATAAAGCAGGGCTTCATGATCCAAGTCCAACAC